AACTTAAAATGACAAAGTGCCTCTTATAGAATAAATTTTACACTAATCTTTCAATTAACGCACAAAATTATTTTTCGTTTTCTTTATCTCTGTTTCTTTGGAATTCGTAAACAATAAAAAAAGAACATTCTATTTTTATTATCAGCAGACATTCCTCTAAAGATAGGTGTATTTACAAACCCAAAAATAAATACATGCATTTTTGAATTATGTCCATTGAGCGCACCAGTGTGCAGCGTGTCGGTGGTCTGCCTCCGCTACGTTTATCTGCTCGAGGTCGCCATTCTAACAATCTTCTAGTCCACCTGTCTTTAGATGTTCTCGCCACATGACCTGCCCATCTCCATTTCATTCGAGTTACGTGTTCCACTATGTCTTTAATTTTGGTTTTTTGTCTGATAGTGTTATTAGGAATTTTGTCTCTTTTAGTTATTCCAAGCATGGCTCTCTCCATGGCTCTCTGGGCTACTCTTAAACTTTCTGCTGACTTTTTCGTTAATGTTAGAGTTTCCGCTCCATATGTAATTACCGGCAAGACGCATTGTTCATAAACTTTCCTCTTCAAGCATATAGGTATATCACTTTTAAAGGTCTCCCGCAGTTTGCCAAAAGCAGCCTAACCCAAACCTATTCTGCGCTGTATCTCGTGTGTTTGGTTGTTTTTCCGATTTTTTTGTATTTCGTGCCCGAGATATTTGTATATATGTGTTTCTTTTATGTCGGCGTCACCTATTCTGATGTTCTGTATCAGCACTAAGTTTGTCATTATTTGCGTTTTACTCGTATTTATCCGGAGACCGACTTTTAATGAGGCCTGCACTAATTCTTCGAGCATCTGCTTTGAATCTCCGATGTTATCTGAGACAAGGACGATGTCATCTGCGAATCTGAGATGTGTCAACCCTTCACCATCGATATTTATGCCCCTATTCTCCCAAGAGAGTGATTTCATTGCGTATTCAAGGACAGCTGTAAAAAGTTTAGGCGAAATAGTATCCCCTTGTCGAACTCCTCTACCTACCTCAATTTTATCTGTTGTTATTATATTGTAATTAAAGTTAAATTGGCTACAGAGTTTTACATTAAGTATATAAACGTCCGAAATATATAGATAAGCAGTGGCGGAACCTCATACATTAAACAGTACCGTGCGAAATATTATTTTATAGCATTTATAATATAAATATCAAAAATAAAAAGCTTATCTTCTTCCTATCTTAAGTCCTATCTTAAGCAATGGGCGCGGGGCGGTCTCAATGCAGTCATGTTATTGATTACGCGATGGTTTCTTCTTTAGATGCGGGAACTATACAAACTAGTTTATTTTCTTTATGAATCATCACCTTTTTTAAACTGTACTGTATATTTTTAAATTTGATTAAGAGGCATAAAATTTGTACTTACTTTTCTGGCCATACGATGCAAGAAATCCATCTTCTACTCACACTTACACTTACTCACAGATTATTCATTATTTCCTATGAGTTTTTTTAAATGTTATTCACCTCACTTTTTACTTTATATTATTTAAGCAGCACGAGAAACGTTATGGTCATCCAAAAGTCTTTTACAACACTGAAAACGGGTTATATTATGGTGATGCATACAAAGCCATAATTCTTCGCAAATAGCCAAGTAAAAATAACTGTGATATAAGAGCGTGTTTATATCGATTATGAGAGAAATACTTGCGGGTTTCGTACGATAGATATGCAAATATTAAAAGCTATACTTAATTATATATTTATAGAATTCGTTCGGAGATGGTGAATGTGATTTCTTTAAATATTTGTCTAGATTTTACCGCTAGTTTTGTATCAAAAGATAGAAATCCGTTAATATAGAGTATACGTTGAAGAATACGTTAAAGAATGGTTTAAAATATTATGCTTGGTGCTTCAAAAAGAAAAAAAATAATTTAAAAGATTTATTTGTATTTTAATATAATACACAACATATAAAAAGCAAAGGAGACTGTCAAAGCTGTAGTGCAGATTTTGCCAATCTGAAGAAAAAAACACAGAGTTCATTTTATGTATTATCTAAGATTATAGAAAGGTTGGTTAAGAGAAGGCTGGTATCTTTTCTGTTTAAGTACAAAATACTTACTGAACATCAGTTTGGATTTCTAAGCAACAAGTCCACAAATGACGCTATGTTTTCCCTCCTTAATAAAGTTTACTCCATCGTAAATAACCATCATTCTACAGCAACAATTTTCTGTGATTTTTCTAAGGCGTTCGACTGTGTAACTCATAAGATCCTAATTAATAAACTGCAGCACTATGGGTTCAGGGAAACATCTCTCGAATGGTTTAAGTCGTATCTAAGCAACAGAAGTCAACTTGTGAGGGTGGATACCACGTTGTCTTCTAGCAATCCCATAGAATGTGGAGTACCACAAGGCTCAGTACTAGGCCCTATTTTGTTTCTTCTTTTTATTAACGACGTTGCTAATATAAACATCAGTGGTAAAATATGTCTTTTTGCGGACGACACTAGCTTCACTTGGAGCAACAAGGACGTCACGGCACTTCATAGGATTATATCAAATGACTTACCATTAAACCAAATCACCATTAAATCTTGGTGCGATTCGAACCTCTTGAGTCTCAACATTTCTAAAACTAAAGCTTTGTCGTATAAAAACTCGCTGCAGCCTTTTGTACTTAACAACACCACCATTGACGTCGTAAAATCTGTAGAATTCTTAGGGCTTGTTGTAGACAATTCTCTAAAATGGAACATGCATATCGACGCTTTGTCAAAAAAATTAAGCACTGCCTGTTTTGCATTAAGATCTGTTTCTAAGGAGCTTAATTTGTCAGGGGCCAGAACTGTTTATTATGCACTTTTTGAGTCGCACCTCAGGTATGCCCTTCCATTCTGGGGTACGTGTTTCAAGCTCCAGAAGAGAGCTGTTCGATATTCACTGGGACTAAACAGCAGAACTCATTGCCAGGACTTTTTTAAGAAATTAAAAATATTAACTCTGCCTTCCTTATTTATATTTGAATCCGTTTGCTTAATATGTAAGCATGTATCAGCTTCTCAAGAAAGGCCATCTCACACTTATCCACTCAGGAACGCGGAGCAAGATCTTTATCTACCTACCCCACGCTCAGAGTTATCTAAAAGTTCAATATTATTCAACTCGAAAAAAATGCACAATCACCTGCCATTTGGAATAAAATCCATAACATAATTTTCTTCATTTCGCAAAGCATTGAAATCTTATTTACTAGACAAGGCTTTCTAAGCCGTAAATGACTTATATTTTGATAATCGAATTTGATCTTGTAAACACTGGTCTAATATTTGCTATTACTATATTTACTATAAATTTACTAAAAATTTTTGAATCCTATTTTTATTTTTTTGTATTCTCTTTTGTTCGTTTACTTGTTTAGTTACTTTGTTACTTTGTTTGTATTTTTATATACTTTACCTTTGTCTACAAATTGTAAAATTTTTTGACAATAAAGGTATTGATTTATTTATTTATGTCAGTCTGGAAAATATGTGGTACTTTGTACAATATGTATGATTTCTTAATATCTCCCGTTAGAGAGAAGATGCCAACTGGCAAAGGAGTACAACAGGGAGACGTGATATCCCCAAAGCTGTTTACAGCAATATTAGAAGAAATCTTCCGTCAACTGGACTGCCCTCAGTCAACAATGGATTAAAAATAGATGGAGAATATCTAACCTATTAGGTTTCGCTGATGATGTAGTCCTGATTGTCAATGGTCCTGGGGAATTACAAGGACAAATTAATGAAATACATACAGCCGCAGCAATAAGGTGGGTCTTAAAATGAATTTAGCAAAAACTAAAGTAATAGATGTACAACAAAATAATGGAACAAAAATGCATTCTAATCTATACTAATATATAAAATCCTTAAGTGACTGACATACTGATTAATCACGATCCTGCTCAAACCATTCAACGTAAGAAGCTCAATTTTGGCATACAGGTTGATTCTAGGGTGTAGAGGTTCGATAAGAAGGGATTTTTCGAAATTCCAGTTCCAAGAGGGTGAAACCACCCCTCAAATATTACAATATTTTTTATTTGAAAAACGGTCAAGTTTCCGAAAAAACGCTTAAACACGTATATTTTATTTTGTTTTTTTACATATTTTAAGATTTTTTAAAAATGTATACAGGGTGTTTCGAAAAATCTGGTCATTGATTAATCCTGCTTAAAGCGCTTGACGTAAAAAGCTGATTTTTGGAAAACAGATTGACTTTAGGGTGTAGAGGTTCGATAAGAAGGGATTTTTCGAAACTCGAATTCTAAGGGGGTGAAACTATTCCTCAAATATTAAAAAAATTTTATTTATAAACCGGTGAGTTTTTCGAAAGAACTCATACAGAAAGAACTTATACAGGGTGTTTCATAAAATATGACGATTCTGCTTAAACTGCTTGACGTTTAAAGCTGATTTTTGGCAAGCGGATTGACTGTGGGGTGTAGATGTTCGATAAGGAGGGGTTTCTCGAATCTCAAATTCCAAGAGGGTAAAAACGCCCCTCAAATATTACAATATTTGTTATTTAAAAAACGGTTAGTCTTTCGGGAAAACGCTTGGACAAGCATAATTTATTTGGTTTTTTTACATATTTTGAATTTTTTAAAAAAATTATACAGGGTGTTCCAAAAAGTTGGGTAATTTCTTAACCACGATTCTGCTTAAACTGCTTGACGTAAAAAGCTTATTTTTGGCAAACGGATTTTTCGAAAGTTAAATTCCAACGAGATGAAACTACCCCTCAAATATTACCAAGTTATATAATAATATCGCCAGATTGTTTTTTCTCATGCTGACATAAATGTGAGAAAATTTTATCAAGTTTGTATGTTAATGGAAATTCTTGCTTTGCTTTATCATTACCATTACACATGATTAATTCGACGCGAACGAAGTCGCTGGTACAGGCTAGTAAATAATACAACTGGAAATAGTAGAAACATACATTTTGGGACAACTAATACACAGATCAGGATCTCTACTACGTGAAATCAACAGAAGAATTACTTAAGCTGGCATGGAGTCCTTATGCGAGTATTCATGCCTTACTAATATTACATATGTGGTTGTAAAAAAATAATTGGTTTATTACATGTTCCATTAATCATACAATCTTTTATCTGTTGTTATATAGATACTTGATAAAAACTAATATATAGAGTAACATTTTTAATGCAGCTTTTTTGTCGCTTTCTTATGCTGCACTGTTTCATCCACTCGTTCTACTTCGGTACTTTCTAAGACGCCCTGAGCACTGAAAGTACTTTTTTCTGGTTCTGCCGTACTCTCCATCCTTGCGTACACCGTGGTCGTAGGTACTATCTCGATCATTTCTACCTCAGGTTCTTCGGGGCATTTTTCCAGGTTGTACGGTAAACTGTGAGGTTTACAACCTAAAAATCAAGATCTCTATTTTACTGTTTTTATTAAGAATAAAAAAATGAACCAAATTTTGCTTGTCGTTTGGGAAAAAGAAGCATTATATCGTTTTTTTTTGTATTAATTTTGTCAGGAAGCAAGACATTTTGTCAGGAACTGAATTATAACAACGCGTACTTGATGTGATTTTATTGTAACTTGTTAAGTTATTAAGTACTCTTCTTTAGATTGCTCCCAGTCGAATAGTTTTTAAAAATACATGGTTCATAAAAAATACTTGATAAAATGTTAAGAATATTTATAGAGAATACCTTTTATAGCATATGTAACGACTATTCTTGGATCCAGTACTGTAGTTGGTACGATTTTGACATCGGTGACTGTCACTGTAGGCCTAGTAAGTCCCAAATATTCTGCCCAACCTTGTATATGGACTGTCTGATCTGGATTTTGGTCTAAATCTGCCCTGTAATCGTTTTTAATTGTATTAGAATTTAAAATACTTCTTTATACAGGGTGTCCCAGAAATAAGTGCAAGTATTTTAACTGGTGGTATAGTTCAACCCCAGAAACACGTCTATGAGGTTTTTTCGCGAATTTTTTTTTTGAAAATTCATTTTTTTTTAGTTTTTAGTTAAAAAAACATAATATCTTGATAATATGGCAACATAGGTATTAGATTAAATTTACAAAAAAGAAAATCCAGAAAAGATCCAGTGGTTCTCAAAATTTTAGCAGAAAATATATTTTTTTTTAAATTTTCTATTTCTAAAATTTAAAGTAAAATAACTCCGTTATTTTGTATTTACTTAAAAAACGATAAAGAGAAAATATGTTTCTTTTATCGAGATCTACCACCCCTTAAAATGCTTGCACTTATTTCTGGGACACCCTGTATATACATTTTAGTATTTCGTTAATTGATGTATTTGTTAAAAAAAAAGAAATACGATAATTTAAGTTTAAATTGTTTTTTTTTTGTCGCAAATAATTACAGTAAAACGATTGAAATTGAAAATACTAATTCATATCAAACTTTGGTCTGCTTCAACAGTTGTATACTTGAAATTACGTTTAATTTAATAAATTTATACCCATGTTTAGCAAGACCTCGCCATTTTTGGCCAGGAAGGATCAAAATTGCACAACAGACATACTATTTAAATATTGCCATATTTAAGCGAATGATTTTTATTATTAAAATTGTTAAATGTTAAAAACGAATTTCTTAACACATAATTATTTTTTTTTTTCATTTAGTTGCAAACTGATCGTGATAATTAGATCCTGAAAATAAGATCTAATAACTGCCTAATCTTGTTACTAAAAATATTTTGTGGCGTTTGAAAAAGAAATGACATGTTCTATTCGGAGTAAAAATGACTTTTTGTGCCTCGGCTATGTCAAAAAGTGTCATTTTTACTCGTAATAAAACAATATACCATTAATAGAAAGATATTATTGTACGTAAAAAATCTCCCATATAATTATTTTAGTTTTCTAGCTACTTCTAAACTCAGCCAGGGATATCCGATCAAATGGTATTGAAATTATGCTGTATTAAAAAAAATTAGCCTTTTAATAAGAAAAAAAAACTTTCACCTCTAAATAGATTAAATCTACACTATTTTTTTTAAATACCCTTTTCTATTTTTTTATTATCATATTGTGTTTTATTTAAACTTTCAAAGCGTTATGTGACAACTAAGTATGTTTTAGATTAGCACACCCTTTTAGATATTGAAAAGTAAATTTAGAGTAAATATTTGACTTTAAGAAACACGAAATACTGTTATTTGCTCTTGATATTCACATGTCATAAGCTATTTGCTAGTATAGTTAACATGATTATTTATTTTTAAATAAGTTGATTTATTTTTAACACAAATTTATATCTACTTGGTTTTATCCTAATGTTATTCATGATTCTTGACTGTTCTTACATTGTGTACAGGTTGTCCCAAATTCGAGACTCATCACTTTGAATCTAGGAAACTACAAGAGATGCGAGCTTGGTTACATGGAGGCAATATTGCGCAATTTGATACTGATCAAAATGGCACTTCAAGAGATTGAAGAAAATACTTAACTAACGCATATTGAGTATGAGCACAGCATATATAGATACGCAAACAATATACAGGGGGTCCGGAAATTAATGCAACAAAACTTGGTCATAGATTCTTGAAAAGAAAATAGGTGACCCGTGTTTTTATTTTTGGCCAGTGGCCCCCCTTTTCGGATTTACAGCCCCCTGAATTTCGTCCCTAAAAAGAGTTTTTTTTTATATCTCAGGGCCCTGTTGGACAAAAATCACTAAATTTGGTACACGTTGTTTTACCATAAAATGACATTTTTTGATGCTATTAACTTTTTTTTAATTTTCATCAGTGGCGTCCCTAGGGTATTTAAACTAAATATTATTGAAGAAAAAAATGGTACGCCACTGTTTTTTTTTTCAAATAAAAAATATTTTTAAAATCTACATTAAATTTGGAACAAATTTGCGCACCGTTTTCGCGTAAAAAATAGAAACCATTTTCATACATGACCAAATCGATGAAATTTTAATGTAAATTTTCATAGCAAAATTTAAAAAACGGCAATTTAGGTTTTTGGACGTACTGGTTCGCACTTAGGCAATAAAAACAAGATTTTGGAAAATAAAAAATTATTTTAATTGAAATTTACGGTAAAATTTTAGCGATTTAGTCATATATGGAAATGGTTCTTATTTTTTTACGCGAAAACGGTGCGTCTTACGAAAAAAAGTTAAGAGATAAAGTTGTTCCAAATTTAACGTAGACTTTAAAAATAATTTTTATTTAACAAAACAGTGGGCGTACCATTTTTTTCTTCAATAATATTTAGTTTAAATACCGTAGGGACGCCACTGATTAAAATAAAAATAAGTTAATAGCATCAAAAAATGTCATTTTATCGTAAAACAACGTGTACCAAATTTAGTGATTTTCGTCCAACAGGGCCCTGAGATATTTAAAAAAAACTCTTTTTTTTAGGGGCGAAATTCAGGGGGCTGTAAATCGGAAAAGGAGGGCCACTCGCCAAAAATTAAAAATACGGTTCAGCTATTTTTTTTTCAAGAATCTATGATCAAATTTTGCTGCATTAATTTCCGGACACCCTGTATATGAGGCTTTACTTCTCTTATAGGAAAAAAAAGTAGCAAAGAGTTTGTAAATTTTATTTTGTTACCTCTAATCAAACAGGGAGAGGAGTCAGACAGAGAGACACGATCTTGCTGAGGCTTTTCACACTCCTTCAGGAATCCGTGTGCAAACAGATTAACTGGGATTTTTATGGTGTAAATTTGGATGGAGAAAACTTCAATTACCTACGACTTGCGGACGACATGGTGTTAATTACTGATAGAATAGACGACGCATATCGAATATTGGAGGAACTAAACAAGACTTCGCGCCAGGTTGGGTTGGAAATGAACATGGAATAAACTTGTAATGAGCAATTGACTTATGGTGAACATCACTCCAATAGAACAGGTTCCCTCTGATCAATACCTGTATCATGAAATGAAACTTAATATAGGCAACGAAACACATGAACTGAATAGTAGAATTGGATTAACCTGGGCTGCTTATGGAAAACTAAACCACATTTTTGCATCAAACATTGTTTACATTTTTCTTGTATATATTGGCTCAAAACAAATCCATGTTTATGATTAATCTATCTTCTGTACTGGGTCGCTTTTATGTATGGAAACGATCGATTATTAGATAAAATATAGGAGCTACCGCAAAAAGTTAAATATAAAAGTTATAGGTTTTATAAAAATCTATTAGCGGGTAATAAATTTAAATATACAGGGTCGGTCATAAAGTCGTGGTACATCAAAGTTTATTTTTTTTAAATGGAACTCCCTGTATATTATTGCATATTTCGGTTCTTCCTTTAATTCTAAGCAAAAATCGAAATACACACAATGTACCTCAAACCAACCGTTTCCGAGTTATTGACTTTTGAAAATATCACTTAAACAATTTGAATTAATTAATTTCGATATGTTCAGTTTCATTTAACGATGCCATTCTGTTGAAACTGTGATACTTAATAATATTTGACATTACCCTATGTAGGTAATAATATACAGGAGGTTCTATTTAAAAAAATGAAACTTTGATGTGCCGCGACTTTATGAACGACCCTGTATACTTAAATATTTTACTCGCTAATAGATATTTAAAATACCTATAACTTTTGTATTTAACTTTTTGCGGTACCTCCTATATTTTACCCAAATGTCCTATATTTCACCTTTCAATGTCTATGGTCTAGACACTAAACATTATTTTTTAATTTGCTGTTCTAAAAGGTGATAAATTGATCTTCGTTTATAAGACTTATGTTTCAGTAAAATGATTTAAATGTAAAATAACAAGTTGGGTTATAACATTGACCTCACCTCATCACTATACAGGGTGTCCCAGAAATAAGTGCAAGTATTTTAACTGGTAGTATAGTTCAACCCCAGAAACACGCCTATGAGTTTTTTTCGCTAATAAATTTTTTTGAAAATTCGAAATTTTTTGAAAAACTTTTTGGAATTTTCTTTAGTTTTTAGTTAAAAAAACATAATTTGTTGATAATATAGCAACATAGGCATTAGATTAAATTAACAAGAAAGAAAATCCAGAAAAGATCCAGTGGTTCTCAAAATTTTAACAATAAATCATTTTTTTTTAATTTTCAAAGTAAAATAACTTCGTTACTTTAGACTTATTTGAAAAACTCTAAAGAGAAAATATGTTTCTTTTATCGAGATCTACCACCCCTTAAAATATTTGCACTTATTTCTGGGACACCCTGTATATTTAAAACTTTAAGACTTCACCCGATTACAGGTTAGAATGAAGAAATAAAAAAAAAGAAAAATGAACTGCTAAATCTAGCTATTAAAAATTACTTTATAATGGGATAAAGCGTATCTCTATTGTTCATTTCCCCTTCGGAGATAATAACGCACTTCTTGTTTTTAATTGCCAGTTACCTTACACAATGCAACAATCTACTTACCTCTTCGTGATTTCCACCGTTTGATGGTCGTTGTTGGTACTGTTTCCTTTCCCAGGGACATTGTTGCCACTGCCGAGTGAGTTAGTGAAGTTGAAATAATTGAATCTGAAACGAAAGTGCATTCGACAAATGTGAGAATGAAAGAAAAGGAGAATAAAGAAAATATTTTTTTTTGAAATTTTCCTAACAATAACATTAACTATTGTACTGTTGGAGTTTTGTTAAAATAATATCAAACTTTGATATCATTTTTAAAGGGCCCATTGTTGGCTCTGTGTGCCTAATTTATTCCTGCTAATTTCCTAATTTCATGGTCCCATCTCAAGCTTAGTCTTCTAGGTTTCTTAATTCCTCGTGGATTCCGTGCTGTAATTTTTGTGGTTCATCTGTTGTCCGTCCTTCTTGCCAGGTGTCCTGCCCATTGTCAGTTGAGGGATTTGACTCTGTGGATGACATCTATTACCTGGGTCTTTTGTCGTATCCACTCTATTCTTTTATGGTCTCTCTTGGTTATTCCCAGCATATTTCAGTCCAATGAACGTTGTGCGACCTACAGTTTCCTTATGATGTCCGTTTTAAGTGTCTAGATTTCATATGCATAGGTCGTGACTGGTAGTACACATTGGTCGAATGTTTTCTTCTTTAGATTTGAATATGATTGAGTTTCTTCCATAAATACTCCATGCTAACTTAATTCTTCTGTTGATTTCTGGTAGTAGAGATCCCGAGCTGTGTATTAATTGTCCCAAATATATATATTCTTCCACTATTTCCAGTGTTATGTTATTTATTAGAATGTCTTTTCTTTCCACTAGTTTGTTGTACTTACATTATTTAGTTTTTGTTAAATACATTTTGAGACCCACTTTATTGCTGGATTTATTTAGTTCATTAATTTTGCTTGTAAAACTTAACAAGTATAGTTAGAGACGTGAGAAATATAAAATAAGAGACGCCCCTCGATGCGCAGTGGACAGCACACAAATTTGCTTTAATTAGATTTGTCGTAACGTAACTGCATCCCTCTTCGGCCGAATGGCCTCTCTCTATCGCGTGCGCGACCGGTGCTATCCTAAGGTGCTATCCCCCAGTCTCTTCCTATATTTGTCAAACTGTAGTTCTTCAGGACTATTGGCAATTAGGAGTATGTCAACAGCGAATCTTAGATGGTTAAGATATTCTCCATCTATTTTTAATCTACTTTGTGGGTCCAGTCCAGGTTTGAAGCACATTTTGAACTAAATTTTAATTTAATTAAAGTTGATTTAATTTTTTTGTTTTTCTGCAGTGATGAGCAAAGGCAAGACTCCCATAGCCTTGGTAATAAATAGAAAAAAAGTAAGAACAAAAAACTTTTTTAAATATATGTACAGGGTGGGTCAAATTCGACGCTTTTAAATGGAAACACCCTTTTCTATAGGAGATAGACGAAAACTAATATCGGTGTCTGGAGCTCAATATTCATCAAAAACATGATGGTGAAATCCGCACATCAATATCTGTTACCGTTTCGGAGTTACGGGGTGTTTTTCAAAAATGTGCATTTTTAACAAATCGCTGTAACTTTTTTGCCATGGAATATTTTGTATTTTTATGAAGACATTTCCAAAGCACCTTTTTACGTAGAATTTAATGGTTTAAGTATAATTTTTTTAAAATTAATAATTTAAGAGTTATCAACAGAAAAATTGATTTTTTATTTGGGACACCCTATATATTTTTAATTAACTGAAGATAATTTAAAATTACCTTTTCAAAAATATAGCACACTTGATATTTTGTTATAATCCCCTTCGAAATACAGAATTTTTAAAAGCTCGCCACTTTTAACTAGTAGGCTTTGGACCCCTTATTGATGATATGCCTTTAATGGAACTCGAAAACATATTTTTCCAGCAAAACGACGCATCACCCCTGAACGCTGAAGTTATCAGCAAATTTTTGCAGCCAATTTCAAGAATAATTGGATAGCTAACCAAGATCTCAGCAGTTGGCCGTCGAGGCCGCCTGACTTAGTACCCATGGATGTAATCCTATGGATATATTTGCGGAAGAATAAAGGTCCCTTATTCTTCCATATAATCTAGACACGAATTAAAAATACTTAGCAGTTATGAGAGGGTATCTTTCACCCCCACTGAGTTAATGAATACCGCGAGAAATGTTCAAAAACTGCCCCGTCTGCCCATAACAGAAGACGGTCGATATATCGAACACCTGTAGCAAAAGCTCATGTCTTGGTTTGCTACTTATTTTTATTGTTATTAGATATAGTTTAAATGTGTTGATGTTGGTTAAATATATTTTAAATTGTTATAAAATTCTGCATCTCTTATAGCAAATATTATTTTCGTTTTAATTGATGCTTACAGCTAGAATTTTTTTGCATTACAGCCGGTTTTTATATACTCTATATCTCGAAGAGGAAGCGAGCAAAATATCAACTGTGTTATATTTTTGGAAAGGTAATTTTAAATTCTTTTCAATAAAGTAAAAATATACAGGGTGTCCCATATAAAAAATCAGATCTTCTGTTGATAATTCTTAAATTATTAATTTTAAAAAAATTATACTTAAACCATTAAATTCTACGTAAAAAGGTGCTTTGGAAATGTCTTCATAAAAATACAAAATATTCCATGGCAAAAAAGTTACAGCGATTTGTTAAAAATGCACATTTTTGAAAAACACCCCGTAACTCCGAAACGGTAACAGATATCGATATGCGATTTTCACCATCTTGTTTTTGACAAAAATTGAGCTCCAGACACCGATATTAGTTTGTGTCTATCTCCTACAGAAAAGGGTGTTTCCATTTAAAAGCGTCGAATTTGACCCACCCTGTACAATATTTTTCTTAGATTCAACTAGTAAAACCATTTATTGCCATTTATTAAATACCATAGTCAAATGCCATCATCGAAATCAATAGGTAAATAAAAAAGTACCATACAGTGCGTTATCTTTGAAACTATTACTTGTCCTAATTTGCTTAATAAAAGTGTAGAAATTATAACAAGTTATATCAAGACTTTTTTACACTTACCCATTGAAAGCAGGCAAATTCAAAAACCTCACATTCCTACAATCTGGCAAATTCGGATCTACATGCAGACATGTGGCAGGTACGTAATGGGTCTCTGTCACCGTGGTAAATACGGTACTCGTTACAGTACCCAATATCCCACGTCTTAATCTTGTAGGTTCAATAAGCACAATATTACCATATATTAATGAAAATAAAGAGAAAATAAATATTAAGCTCTTCATTTTATGTAAGTGGCTACGCTATAAGGATACTACTTAAATAATAAGAGACATATTTTTGTGTTGGATCTTTTTATAAACTCTCTAGAAAATTTGGAGTATTTCCTTTTGTTATTAAGTTATCTGGAAGTAGATATAAATTATCAGGATACGTCTTGGTCTATACCTTGTTCTGTTATATTTTACGGAAAAAGGTTAATTGAAAGTTAACTGCACCCAGGTATTCGTTGCATCACAAGGTGTATCAATTAAGAGCAAAGAGATTAATTTAATGTGCCTTATGTTATCGGCAAAGGAACGGGATATTTACCAGTAGCGTAACGTTGGGAATTTTGAAAAAAATATAAATTTGTTATAAAGGTAATTTTTACACCATTGTGACGATTCTGTGATAACTTTCTGTGACCCCATGAATATTTAGTAATCTCAATAAGATTCCCAGTAATACCTAAGATCATGGACAAGTAGCATGAGTGCTTGTAGAAAAAAAAAATACATGTTCAATATACAGGGTGGTCCGAACTGTATTCCGGAAACTTCTACAGCATATTCTGCAGATAGAAATAAGTAAAAAAGTTTATATAGATGTGTCCTAAAAAATGCTTAGTTTGGGTGGTACAGGGTGTAGGAATTACATATTTATTTCGATTTTTTCCAAATAATTTCTCAAGTAATGTCAATATTTGGATGAAAATTGATGTCTGGGAGTTTTTTGACATGAGAAATTTGATTTTGATCAATATGACTCCTACTTGTAGAGGGCGCCACCTACATATTTTTTAACTGGTTTGAAGAGTAAATAATACTAATACAAATATAATAAAACTTATCGTCCAAATCTGTATAAAACTACCGAGTAAAAAAATATACATTTCCGACGTTTTTACGTAAAAAATGTTCCTTGGTAAAAATCGCTACGAGTAATGATTCTAGAGATATTTAGAATAAATATTATCAATAATAATCAATAATCATAAATTAAACATGTTGACTAAATAATTATTAGACTAAAATCATAAATTTGAAATGTTTTTGTGTCAAAAATTCAACAGAAACTGTTTTACCATCGTTTTTTCGAAGAAAAATTTGTGAATAATTTAAAAAAAATAAAAAGTCCCCAAATCTGTATAATTTCAGTCAAATAACTATCTATTCACGTTTATTTTTTGTTAATAATGACATGTATTGACTATTTCCATTTTAAATATCTTGAGAAAGGTTGCTCGTAGCGATTTTTATCAAGATAAAAGAAAAAATAAAATAAAAATCACGGAAATGTATATTTTTTTACTCAGTAGTTTTATACAGGTACGGACAAACAGTTATTACTCTTCAAAATAGTTAAAACACATGTAGGTGGCGCCTTCTACAAGTTTGAGTCTTAAATATTGACATCAAAATCAAAAATCTCATGTCAAAAAACACCCAGACTTACTTCAGAAATTATTTGGAAAAAATCAAAATAAAAATAAAACTTCTACACCCTGTATCTCCGAAACTAAGTATTTTAGGACATACATCTATACGAACTTTTTTACTTATTTTTATCTGCAGCCAGGTTTGCGGAATACTGTTCGGACCGCCCTGTATATTTTTTTATTACTTATATGTTGTAGCATAACAATTCAGGGGTCGTTCAACAAAGTTGAAGAGGTAATATTTTGGCCAACTGTATAACAAACAATTTAAATGAAATAAAGGAACCTATTACGTTGTGTAAAAAATATTTTTATTGTGACTTACCTCGGATGCGCTGGATAGATGCTATATTAGGGAAATTTGAGGAGAATAGGTTATGTCAATCAAACGCTAAATTTGTAAATATCCCTACTTATTTTAAAAAATGTCTATACCTATGTGGCGGATTCATCTATCCAGAAAAATCCTTATGGGTTTTTCGCCACTGCACTGCAAGAAAAATCTACAAAATAAAATAGTTATTTTTGTAAACAATTCTGCGTTAAACCTAAACGGACACTGCTTGTCAGAAGTTGTGTTTACAGTCATAAAAATTTGCCTAACAAAGAAAAAGATGCTTAACGTTTCGGAAAATTTTCTCTTTCCGTCGTCGGAAGCAAAAAAATATAAAGAATCAAGAAAAAAACTATTTAAAATATTTAAATTGAACTATTCGAGAACACTTTACTTTTTAAAACAGATACGTCTACAAGAAATCGTTGACGTTTCCTACTTATTTTATTGAGTGAAGTGAAAGGAGTGCCGTACTCTGCCTGGAATTCACAAGTAAAAGAACACGACAGAGAAAACATTGATCACTATTCCAAAGAATCCAACTATGCTGTTCTGAACTTTGATAAAAGAGAAATAATACTAATAAAAATACTGTCCTCATACTAAGGTTTGTAGTTTTACATGCAAAATTGAAGAGATTTTGCGGGTTTAGAAGGTCGCAGGTGCTAATGCTCTGGTTTTAAGGCTGGAAGCTAAAGTTGAAGGTTTGGTGCAAATATTTTTAGATTATATTTATTGTTTTTGGTTGCCCTTTTGTGAGCTAAGATATTGATCCAGGCACGATAGAAAAATATTAGTACACTCAACAAAACCCTTATTGTCATCAAAAGCTAGAAATCCAGTATTAACCTTTTTATTATTAAATACCTACTTTATAATAAAAGTTTACTAAGTATATTACTAACTAAAATGATACGATTTAGATCACCTGTTCCTCGTTTTACATTACTAGGTATGTGGTTTTGAAACTAGACACATCTTTTCTAAAGTTACCACTATTTTTATTGTGGTTTTTGTATTGGTCTTCATTTTGACCACATTTAGAATAAATTTACACGTTCTTAGAGCATATAATCTTATGTGATATACAGGGTGAGTCTTAAATATGTTCAAATATTTTTAGTATTAGTAGGTAGTATGTTTTGACCCCAGAAACACGATTATGAGTTTTTTATTCGCGAAAAAAAAATTGAAAACTTAGAGTTTTTTGAAACATTTTTTGGATTTTTTTTAGTGTTTATAGTCTGTCCAACGAGAAGATCCTTGACAGTGATAGATGTGTCTGTCATTTTAATTTCAAAGTAGTTTATTTTATTTTAGAAAGAAATAAGTTGGTACAACTGGAACGCATAGCAGGATATATTTAAAATTTGATTGACAAGATGACAAGTGATTACTTCAAAATATTGTGAAAAAAACTGTATAAAACTGAAAAAATGTAATCGAGTTATTTTATTTAATAAAAACGGTATGTGTTAATACAAAACAAACAAGAACAAGACACTACATACCAAAACAATATAAAAAAGAACTATTATTTACTTTCAAGCTTTATGAAACTAACCGCATTTATGATTATATTTATCAATATAACTTATGTACAAATACAAATTTGTAATATTCCACAGGAATAAATAAAACAACATAGGTAAATAAAACAAACTATTTTAATAATAATAACACCTACCAAATTTTATACCTTACAGGTTGATTAATTAACTTTAATCTTAATTTTTTTAAACCAGTACCTTTTGACATTATTTTTCTGCAGTACTAAAATCCATTATTTACCTCTCGTGTGATGTCGATATTTTACAGCTACTCCAGTTTTTTAGTATGTGTTTAGTTTGATCCTTCTACCATATACGAGATGCACTTATCTACAACGAAATGGTATACAAACTTTATCGATGGCAACTTCATTGGTGTATAAGACTTTCTGCCTGGGCAGCGAGTATTAACCATAAACTGTGCTCTGGGTCTACAGTTAATTTTCACTCGATTTTTCCTCCACTTGACTTCAAAAGACACAAAACACACGTAATAATACGAATCAAAATGCATCATCTTCCAAAACGCAGGGTATGGCGTAAGGTATTAAACAAAAGTTGACAGAAAATTATAACTTATAATTTGGCAAGACTTTGACAAGCGTCAAAAATGACAAAAATCTAAAGGCGAGTTCATACGCATCGGTGTCCGTTTGTCGTTCATCGTTCCGTCAAACCAATAAAAATGAAATACGATCTGTCATTTTTTAAATAAACCAATAAAACTGGTAAAAACAACAAGACACGACGCATGACGGATTTATATTTAAACCCATCCATAGATAACTTAAAAATTATTAGAAACTTTTTTTAGTAAAATAAATAGATTGGTATGGGACGTCATCTGCTTTTCTTCTGTCATCGTCTGTCGAAATCTTACCTGAGAAAAAAAACAGAGTATAGTTAAAAACCATAATTTCTTAATAATATGGCAACATAGGCAATAGATTAAATTTACAAGAAAGAAAGCCCAGAAAAGATCCAGTGGTTTTCAAAATTTAAGTAAAAAATATATTTTTTTGAAATTTTTAAAATAAAATAACTTGGATATTTTAGACTTATTTGAAAAACGGTATGAAGAAAATATGTTTCTTTTCTCGTGATCTACCAGCTCGGAAAATATTTCCACTTATTTAAGACACACCCTGTATAAGATTATATGCTTTTTATACGCATGACCACTTATTACGCTAATTGCATAATTATTTTCATTGAATTACTCTACATAGTATTATTTTAAACTATATGTGGAACTTTTTTAACGTTTTAATAATATTTGTTAATTGTTTATTAAATAAGCTGTCTGTCTGTATTCGAAACAGTGAAGATTCGATAATAATTGGCAAAGTACTAACGTCGGGCATCATATAGACGCAAATTAGTACCCTTGAGACTAGTAATTTACATAATTTGTAATATTACATTATCATTATCACCTGGAAGTTAAGTATGTACTTTTAGATTTAACACAAAAATTTTTGGTTTTGACTTAAAATTTACAAAAATTGTATTAAGCTGGATATTTTATTTTAAATTTATATTACCCTATTATAACAGGGTGGTCCGAACTGGTATTCGGAAATTTGGGCAGCACATTCTGCAGATAAAAATAGGTAAAAAAGTTCGTATAAATGTATGTCCTAAAATGCTTAGTTTTGGAAATAGAGGGTGTAGAAGTTTCATTTTTATTTCGATTTTTACCAAATAATTTATGAAGTAATGTCAATATTTAGATGAAAATTGGTGTTTGGGAGTTTTTTGACATGAGAAATTTTATTTTGATGCCAATATGACTCCTACTTGTAGAGGGAGCCACGTACATGTGTTTTAACTGTTTTAAAGAGTAATAACTTTTTGTCCGTATCTGTATAAAATTATTGAGTGAAAAAATATACATTTCCATGACTT